CCTCTCTTCCCTCTCTTCCCTCTCTTCCCTCTCTTCCCTCTCTTCCCAACTGTTACTCATGTGGCCATCAGCCTTTTTACATTCATCTGACTCCCTAAAACTTGCACAGTTTCAGTATCAATATCCACTAGCAACCCAAAATATATGTATGAATGAGATTCCCCTTGGCAGGCCCAATTTTTAGTGGGAGGAGGTGCTAGAGCACAGTGTTGAAGGACAGTGCTTATGTCTGGAAAAATTGTTCCTTTATATTATACTGCACAAAGTATGCATTTTGGTTTATTATTCTCAGTTATCAAAAAAGATTTGGACTAAGGAACATTTCACATGGGTGGGGTGTATAGCACCACATTTGTTGTGCTAGGATAGTAAGACCTACATTAATGTAGTGCCATCTAGAAGATGCTTAACTTGGTTACTACAGTGTTATTCCTGATTATGTAACAGCTTTAGTGATTATGTTTCTTTTGGAATGTAAGAATCACTAACTTTTTATTTCCCTTGTTTCTTTCAAGCTGTAGCCCTGTATCTTGCTGACCAGTGGTGGTCAATTGATGACATTGTGAAAACATCTGTCCCTGCTAGACAGGGGCTTCATCAGGTAAAGCACTCCAACATTGACTTAGCAATTAATCTTCTACTTCAAGATATGGCAAGTAGCTAGTGTGCGAGATACTACATGTTTTCATTTCATTTAGAAATTAGATGCCTGTTGCAAGTCAAAGGAAATAGAGGAATAGGTACTACAACTGGGAAAGGAACCTGATAGTGAAAATAGTGTCTAGAGCAAGAGTGACTCTTGTACAGCAACTTCATGTGTAGATTATTTAGATATTAACGTCTCAAGTTTTTTCGTACATTGTTATCTGGTTGTTTTGAAACATCTTAGTAGAGTGGTGCATTTTACCATAATGGTACCTATTGATCTTATCAGGAGACTAGTAAACCAAAAACATCTTCAGGAACCTGTTTTACAGAAGCAAGTTGAAGCTGGTGGCTTGCGTGAGGCTATGGTGAGGCATGCTGGCTATATGTGAGGTCTGGAAAAGTAAGTTGCCTGGTGTCAGCTTTATTGCTCATCATTGACCTTTTTTACCATTACTGACACCAGTGTAGCGTGTAGTTATGTTTTTTCCAAAATTGGAATCTGTACTTTTCCAGGATTGTAATTTATGTCTGCCCAGGGAATCTGGGCACTTGTCTTTGATTTTTGCGTTTTTGTATTTTCGCTAGAGAATTTGGCATGCAGCCTTGCTTTTCATGTGCTTCTTAATGGTAAGATGGTGATTAAGTCAGGAAAGCTGAATCTTTTATGGGTGGGGTAGCTGAGACTCTGAGCACTGGGAAGAGAGCAAGATTGCTTCTTCCTTCACAATGGATAGAATAGTGATGAGCTTAAATTTCATATATAAAAGGAACCCCGCAGGTCAGAGAAAAGGATATTGAATTCCTTGTTCCGTTCCACAGAAACTGTTGTTAAATCATAACATTCCCACTCCACTGCCCTTCTCCCAGCACTTCTCTCAGCTTTTATGCATTGCATAAAGAGTAACATTGAAGTTATGAAATATCCTCTATGGTAATGATTTATACTTGACCTATTGCTATGTCTTCTGAGCATCTCCTTCCCCTCAAACAAACCCCAGAGAGTCATCCTGCTTTAGCACTTACAGCTTTCTTTGACTTTGTCTGCAGCTGTGTTAACTGTCAACTTTGAAAAATAAGGTCTTTGATGTGTGAATATTAACAAATCTGACCGATCTTCTAAAATGTTTTTTCTGTGTTCCCTTAGGTGCAGTCTGTTGGAGAGAGGATTGTTCTCTATGTTCTGAATCGAATTATCTATCGAACGCAAGAAATGGAAGGAAATGAGATCCCATTTCTCTGTCATGGAAGCAGTCACTATGCTAAGATCATGTGGAAAAAAGGAGAGGCTATTGGGTTCTATTCTGTTAAACCTGCAGGTAGGACACTTGAAGACTGTGGGATTTGGGGGTTAAGTTGTGGAGATAAGGAGCTTATTTGAAGAATATTGGATGTAGGCTTTACAAGCCTTGCAGGACTAATGAGTTGGTGTTTTCCTGCAATTGTAAGAGGTCAGATTGCTGTTAAGATCTGTAAGTTAAATGCTTATATGCTTTAGCAATTTAAGAAAGTTCTTGGATTTCTTGATATTCTACAAAACATATTTGAAACTGTAAAAATTTGATATACCCAAAAGCTTTTTTCTTTCTTTTTCTTTTTCATTTTTTCTGTAAAACAGTTATTTACAGTTGGGTTGGACTGTGCTTATCTTGAGTTAGCAAAAACTGAAGGCTTTTCTTTCTAGATATTGTCAGTATTTCACCTATGTTTGAGCGTGTGCTGTGTTCTTCAAATGTGTAGTCTACATGGAAGAGTACTGTTCTGGAAACACATGGTTAGGAAGAGGTGAAGCTCTTCTGGTATCCCAGAGGGTACCCAAGTAATATAACCTCTCTGCTCAAGTTTTCCTTGCTTGAAAAATGAAGATAATAATACAATGGCTTGCATTGGGTTTGAAGGAACGTTAAAGACCATTTAGTTCCAACTCCTCTGTCATGGCAGGGACACTTTCTACTAGACCAGGTTGCTCAGGGGCTTATCCAACATGGCCTTGAACACTTACAGGGATGGGGCATCCACAACTTCTTTGGGCAACCTGTTCCAGTGCCTCACCACCCTCACATTTCTTCCTAATATCCAATCTAAACCTACACTCCTTCAGCTTACAGCCCTTACCCATTGTCCTATCACTACAGGCTCCTGTGGAAAGTCCCTGTCCAGCTCTCTTGTAGGCTGCGTTCAGGTACTGAAAGGCTGCAAATAGGTCACACTGGAGCCTTCTCTTCTCCGGGCTGAACAATCCCAGCTGTCTTAACCTTTCTTCATAGGAAATGTCCTCCAGCTTTCTGATCATCTTCCTGACCCAGAGATAAGGGTCATTGGCCTTAAAAATACAAGGTTGCAAAGACTATATTGTATAGACAGCTGTATGCTTCTTGTTGGCCTTGTTAGAGAAGAGGGAAACTTTTTGGCGTAGTTCACACTGATTCACAGAAAAAGGGCCTGAAAATGAATTGGATAGTTAGTGGACTATCTTAATGCCATTGTATGTCATCCCTTTATCACCACTGAGTTCATAGCTACCCTTGGAATCACAGAATATTCTGAGTTGGAAGGGACCCACAAGGTTCATTGAGTCCAGCTCCTAAGTGAATGGCCCATAGAGGAATCAAACCCACACCCTTGGCATTAGTAGCTCCAGGCTAACTGGAGTTCCTATGTGTTGTGACAGTCTATTCCGTCTTTATTAAATTATGGATAATATGTTGTTTTGGGGAGAATTTCAATGTAAAGTCTCCTAGGTTTTTTTGTCTTCATTTAAAATATCAGAATTATTGTTTCAGTCTTTAAACAAGAACTGAATTAGTCTTCAGATTTGTCCTAAGTAATGATGTAATCAACATAAAGGTTCAATTCAAAAGTTTTGGTTTCTCCTATTCCCTCCTCCGTCTTTCAGCTTCACTTTTAGAACAGTTTTCCTATGGAGTTGTATAGTGAGATTTCAAAGTGAGCCTTTCCTTTCTGTCTTGTCTATTCTTTTCTGGTACTACAGACTTTTTCTATTGTATTAATCTATTGATGTATCTTGGCAACACTGTGAAGCTTGCCCAAAAGAGACAATAAATTACTGATAAAAATTATTTATTTTTAATACAGTTATAAATTATTGTTATAACTTTATACTACTTACTGTTAAATAGTTCGGTATTTTTATAACCTATAAAACTTTTTATTTGAATATGCTAAAATCCATGCTGCAGCATGTCAGTCAACATGCAGTATGTGACCCATACTGATGGATATTTTTTTCCTCTTGATTATTTCAGGAAGTGTTTGTAACTCATTTTTTCATCAGAAGTATAAACTGACAGTGCTAGACACAATGTTTGTGAGAAAGAAACATCGTGGGAAAGACTCTGGGCTAATCATGTTGGAAGACTTTGTGGATTCCTTTACTGAAGGGCCTCTTGGGCTACGATACCCACTGTCATCCTTTGTGTATACAGGTGAGCTCTTTAATTTATTCTTCTTCGTGGTTTCTTCACATGTCCAGGTGAGTCGTGTCATTCAAGTTCCATGTTTGTGGACTCATCCTCAGGTTCTATATTAAATGTTCTGCACTTTAGAGAGGGCTAAAAATCCTGATTTATTTAAGATGAAGTAGTTCCTGATTAGATTTTTAATCCTCTGCTTGGAACTAAGTTATTCAAACTCTGTTGGCTTTCTGCTGCTGTGAAGTTTACCACTGTCATCTTCCCCCCACCAAGCCTGAAGAATGGGCTGAGGCATTTCTGTGTGTGATCTAATGTGTATCTTCTTTGTAGCATCTTTTTTTTGCACACACCTAAGCCTCATGAGGTCATTTAATTCATGCTTTCTCTGAACTTCTGGTCAAAAGGACATACTAGGCTATTTTTTAACTTATGTATCAGAAGGCACAGTTCTAAAATATAAAGAAACACTTGTGGTTCTTCCATTAGCAACCTAAGAAAGCTATGTCATGTAGGAAATGACATGGATTGTAGAAACTATGTTCTTGGGACTGCGTTCAGGCAAGAAGTACATTTCTTTTGCCCTATTTTTATCTGGCCTTCTTAACTACTGGAAATTTTCTGATTTTCCAATTACCACTATCTGTTGCTGGATCGGATAAGACCTGGTTTGTTAGGCTTCAAACAGGAAAATTATTTGAGCAGAAATTGGGGTGACAAAAATAACTCAACTACATCATGTGCTTAAGAACTCTTCCCTCCTGAGTTGAGTCTTGTGATTGGCAGGAACAGTGACCAGTGAAGTTGCAAAACTCTCGAGTGGGTACCTAGAGAAGAAGAAAAACCCATCCATCTTTGTTTGCAGATAATAATGGAAATATTTAAACATGAAGAAAGGATAAATTGAGAAGGATCAGTAGGGTAAAGCGATATTATGTTTATTTCAGACTTGACTCTTTTGTTAAGCAGTTCTTTCTGTATTTGTTTACGTGTATGACAGTAGATTGCAAAATAATTTGATTTCAGATAAAATTTAAAAACTGAGCCACAGCTGAGTATATAGTGTCTATAATATAGTGGTTTTTCTTGTGTTTGCTCAGCTTGTAAGCAGTATCTTGAGAAGTACCCTGCGGATAAAAACCTTTTGTGGCAAGTGGAGGGAGCAGGAGGTTGGTTCCAAAGAAAGTCTATTATGTCTATAGTGCAAAAGGAAAATCTGAAAATTGCAGGTATGGATACTTTGTTTTGTCATTCTCTGACACATTTTAAAAGTTGGACAAACACTCTACAAGTACAAGAGTGACTTCTGTGAACACCGTCTGTGGAAACTAGCAGAAAGATTTTTATTTGTCCTGAGACCTGTCCTTGACACAGGGTGAACGTTACTTAGCAACAACTAAACCAGTGTTTTATCAACATTATTCTCATAGTAAATTTAAAACACAGCACTGTACCAGCTACTAAGAAGAAAATTAACTCTATCCCACCTGAAAGCAGGATAGCATGCACTCCTTATTTTTTGTATCATTTACATCGTGCCCAGGTTCCACGCTTTCCAATACACCATCACCTTTCCTGTCTTTTGATATATAAATACACTTCACACACCTCTATCATTCCTTTAGTCTATGGGCCATCCCTATAAAATGTCCATTGAGTTAATTTAGTCCATGATTTTGGGGTTCACCTGTCATTAGTCTTTTAGGGCAGAAAAGATGGCATGTGTCATGTTGGATTGTTGCATGCTGAAGCCAGTTCTGATTCTATCACCACTACAACTTGTCTGGTTTTACTGTAGTTCATTCTTCATTGATCTGGCTGATTTTTACTGTAATGCCCTTGATAAGACAATTGAAAGGCAATCGGTTTCAGATCCCCAAATTCAGAGCAGTGAAGACAGGCGCTGTGAGGTGCTCAGTGCAGTGATGGCCATATAACCACCAGAGAAGAGACAATATACAGTGTTATGTAGCAATCAACATCATAGAATTTATTGGCTAGTCTCACCCAAAATCAAATTCCCTTGAGGTATGCAGTGGACTTACCCATCCAAGTGCACCCACGTCCTTGTGTAATTCCACAAATGTGTTTGCCTTTGCCTGAGACAGGAATAGCCCAGATTATTTATGTGCACTACAGGAACTTTATCCCTTTCTACAATGTGTAAAATTTTGATCAAGCAGGGCCAGACTGACTGGCAGATCCCCTTACCAGGTGTCTTTTGCTGCATGTATGTCCTGATGTTTGAAGGTCCTGCTACCCATTTCTCCTGGATAAATTGATAACAATTCATTGTATCATTTCATTTTTCTGAAGGCTGGTGCATGGTAGGGGGTGTGATATTCCCACTCATGGGACTTTGGCCCAGTTGCCTATGGGGTTGTTTAGGAAATGAATCCTCCTGTCTGATTCTGTTCTTTCTGGGGCACTCTATCACTATAAGACTTCTTCTTAAGGCCCAGTGTTCCAGGTGGTGGCATGGGGCAGAGGATATGTTCTCACCCTTCTAGTGGTTGCTTCCACCATTATAAGCACTTACCCTGACTGGTTTGGAGAAGTGCGATATAGTCAATTTGCCCAGCCCCTCCATATTTATATTTCAGCCATCATTCTCTGTACTGGAGAGGTTTTAATTGCTTGGTGTGCTTAATTGCAGTGCATGTTTCACATTTATGGGTAACCTGTGCAATAGTGTCCACGGTCAAGTCCGCCCCTGGGTCATGTGCCCATCTGTAATTTGCATCTCTTCCTTGATTACCTGAGGTGTCATGGACCCACCAAAGCTGGAAATAATTCACCCTTATGTTGCCAGTCCTGATCCACGTGAGCCACTACAATCTTAGCAGCCTGATGCATCTGCTGGTTGTTCTGATGTTCTTCGGTGGATATATGAGCCTCTACTTTCACAGCCACAATGCTGTCCACCTAGACAGCATTATCTTGCTGCAGTGTGGCAGCTCAGATGTGCTGCCAGGTGCTGCCAGTTGCTGCAACCACCTCCACAGGGCATTTGACACTACCCATGAGGCAGTATAGAGCTAAAGTATTGGCCATTTTTCTCATTCAGAAATGACTCAAGTCAGCTGGATGGCCTTCACCTCTGCAAACTGTCTGTTTTTACTTTCTTCTTCAGCAGTTTCTGCGACTTGTTGTAGCGGACTCCATCACTAATCCTTTCCTACAAATGTGGCAGAATCTATCAATAAACAAGGCATATTGCTTCTCATTTCTTGGCAATTTAATATACAGTGGGGCCTCTTCAGTATGTGTCACCTTCTCCTCTGGTGACATTCTGAAATCTTTTCTGGACAATCCATGACCACTTTCAAGATTCTTGGATAACTGCAGTTTCCTATTTGGGCTTACTGCTTGATCATTGATTGACCCACTCCATGCAGCATCAGTTGCATGATGTGTGTAGAAGAGACCCTCCCTTTAAACATTCCACCCAGCATAGGCAACCAGGGTGCCAGGAGGAGCTGTGCCTAAGTACCAGTCCCTTCTGAAGCAGCTTGAACCCGTTTGTATGCTGCCAATGTCTCTTCTTCAGTTGGAATATAGTGGGCCTCTGATCTTCTGTGTCCCTAACTCCAAAAACTCAGGGGTCAACCTCAAGTCTCTCCTGATGCTTTCTCCTAGAAGCTCCAGGCAGGACCATTCTCTCATCTGTAGAGTAGAGCACAGTTTTTACATCTTACCCTGGCCCAGCTGGCCCAAGGGCTACAGCATGAACTGTTTTCTGTTTGATTGGTTCAAGGGCTTGTCATTGCCCAGGGCCCCATTTAAAATAGTTCTTCTTCTGGATCACTTGATAGAGAGGGCTGACAATCAGACTGTCATTTAGAATGTGTGTTCTCCAGAAATGCACAATGCCTAGGAAAGCTTACATTTCCTTTTTACTAGTTGGTGGATACATTTCTGTTATTTTGTTAATCACATCTGTTGCTATCTAATGGCGTCCATCTTGCTGTTCCTAAAAACTGGATCACCTGTGCAGGTTCCTTGACCTTACTTTGTTTTATGGCAAAACCATCTTTCTCTCTCCATAGTGGTCCAGTTGCCGTGGTGACATGGAATGTCTTCCATGAAGAGATAACCCTTCCTTCATGCTTGTCAGACAATTAAGTGCCATGCCTGCTTGTCCCACCTCAGTAGGGTGGGGAGGAGCATCTGCAAAAAATGTAAAACATCTTGGTTGAGACAAGAACAGTGCAGTAATTGAAATAAAATTATATATAAGCATGATATAATAATAATTGTAATGAAAAGGGAGACGACAAAACCAGAGAATTAAAACCCAAGAAAGAGAATTGGTGCACAGTCCAGTTGCAGTAATTAGACCCTCCCAATTTATATACTGGGCATGACATTCTGTGGTATGAAATATCCTTTTGGCCAGTTCAGTTCAGGTGTCCTGGCTTTGTCCCCTCCCCAGCTTCTTGTGCACCTGCTTACAAGGAGAGCATGAGAAAACGTTCTGAAAAGTTCTTGACTTAGGGTAACTACGGTTTAGCAGAAACCAAAGCATCAGTGTACTATCAACATTATTCTCATGCTAAATTCAAAACACAGCACTGTGCCAGCTGCTATGAAGAAAAAACCCAGCTGAATGCAGGATGGTTAATTTTTATGTAAAGATACTATACTTTTCTGTTTCCCCATTTCCTCTTTTAAATCTTTACAGCAGAGGCCTCTAAGAAGGAAAATAATAGTTTGCAAACAGAGGATGAGCTTAGTCAGTCTGCAGTATCTGAAGCAAGTGGACAGAGGACTGAGAGGACTGAGCTAGAAACACAGCTAAATGTAGGTACTCAATCTGTTGCCTCTTTTTTTTGATTGCATTGTTACTGAAAAACAAATTGTGAGAAATTGTTTTTGTCCATCTCATTATAACTGAATTGGCTCAAGTCCATACTACATATATAAAAGACAAATACTTTTATTACTTTGTGTGTGGGTGTAATGTTTCCCATTGATGTAACATCAATGACTAAGCTGGGATTAAAAATACCTTTTTTATGTGTGTGTGGGCAGGTGGGGTTTCCCCATGAATGTAGAAAGTCTGTGCCTGCAGCTGTCAGGGTCTGTAATTTGAGCTATTTAATAGCAGATTACATAAAGGAGATTATTTCAACTGTCTCTGAGATTAAACTGTCTAGAAAGGCTGTGTGTAGAGGTGCACATTCATGTCATAGTTCAATACAATGGAAAGTGTTAAGTTTGCATAGAGTTATACTTCATCCATACAAAAGGATTGCAGCTTTCTTTGTATGTACTTGATATATCAGCCAGATTTCAGCTACACATGGATATGTGGTCATGAGTATATTTGTGTGTTTGAACGTTATGAAGCTACTCCTCTATCTCATGTGTGTTCTGAGGCCACACATAATGTGAATGACAAGAATCTGTAGCTCCAAATACCATGGGCACGGACGTGCTTCAGGACTGTCTGTAGTAGTGACATGACCATGCTTTCATAGAAGTCAATGCTTTAATTAAAAATGGGAAATAATGGCTAAATTAATACTCTCAGCTACTAAGATCTAAGGTTAGATTTGAATGTAAGTCAAATGTCCCTTTTCCTAGTTGAGAAGATTAATATTTTCCAAAGCAAAACTGACAGAAAAGTGTTATGGTTTTCAATCTCTCAATAATCAGAAGCTGTCTTTCATTCGTAACAATTTCTGAAGCATCACCTCTGAGTTCTAGAGTCAGATTCCAATAATAATCATATCAGCAAAATGATCTAAAAAAAATGCATGATTTGGTTGTAGAGTTATATGGATATATCTGGAGAAAATAACAGAGTGATAGTAGTTCCTATGATTTTTATCGCTGTGAGATAAGAATTCAGCCCTTGTCTCTTGGCTCCAAATCCTCATAGTTTGGTAGAATTGCTGGCATCTCTTTAATTGGCATCTGCAGTATTTATAAGCAGTTCTGCAATGGTTTGAAAACTGATGGACCACCAAAGAAAATAAAACTTCCCACCTTCCCCCAAACCATGAAAAAACATACCCCAACTTTCACTTTCACCTTTTACTTAGTGCTCCCTATTTTGTGTGTTTTGATGCTAGAATAATTTGTTATTAGCTTACAAATTCTTATGCATTTAAAACTCACTTGAAACTATTTCAAATAGCAGAATATAGACTTGTCCACTTTTTGCTGGCCTTCTTGTGTGGTACTGGAAATGAGGCTGGAAAAGTGAACCAGCATGCTATTGTTGCCAGTTCCAGATTATTTCCAGCAGCTAAGAAAGAGCAATGTGCATAACTTCATTTTAATGTGGACAGCTTGTATCCACTTCACTAAGTGCTGAATCCTCAGCTAACTTGCAGAAAAAAAAATCCAAGTGTTGGGATGGTGTGGAAGAATGAGAGACAAAAGAGCTCTAGGGAGAGGGAACTCTGACCTACGCAGACTCTTGGGCTGACTACGCATGTAACCTGCATTACTGCTGATCGCTAATTTCTCTTTTTCTTGTCACATCTCTTTAGTTGTTTTTTTTTTAGCATAGGCTGCCATATTCTGTTTCATGTTATGACAAAAATAAAACTATGGAATATAATACTAGTATAAAAATAAAACTTTTCAGTTAAATTTTGCCACCTACTGTATTGTAGTCCCTTGGGTTCATGAAGAAAGGGGGAACAAACAGTAAAAGACTTCTAGCATTTAATTATATGTACATTTGTGATAAACAGAATTGTTAAAGAAAAAACCTTGGCAGTATTGTTTATAATGACAGGTCACTTTCAAGTCTTATCTTCTGTGTTGAGAACGGAAATAAAACAGAAAAATTAGTCATACATGACATGAAGATAATTCTAAAAAAATTAAGATTTGTTGAGAGATAAGACACTTAGGTATAAATTAAGAATTATTGTAGCTGGTGTTCCATGGGATCATTACAATGAAATAGTGATCTAGAAAGATGTAACCATAGGTAGGAAGATGAAGGTATTTTAGTCAATTCAGGAAATTTTAGAATAACATTAGCTTTGCTTTTGCTTTACAGACTAACTTGCAAAAAGGTAAAGAATCAACAGCTGTCCATGCAAGCACATCTGAAGGTAAAAATAACCTTCATTATCAGTATTGCAGTTAATGTAGATCAGTAGTTTTGCAGGCTCTTACAGCTTTCCATCATCCTGTAATGATCTGTAAAGTGTAAAAAACCACTTTCCTCTAAGTGTATAAAAATGCTTTCCTCTAAGGTGCTGAGGCTCAACTCATAAACCTTCTAGAGGAAATCAACTGTTACGCATCTTGATAAAGATATTATTCAGAAAAAAAGTACCATAATGAAATGCTGTTTTAGTTGGACTCAATTTCTTTAATGAACTGTTGGGGGTGGAGAAATTATATGCAGATCTTAAACTGAATTTGTTCAATTGAATTTATTTTGGGGTTTTTTTGTGTTTTTCTTCTAAGAGCCTTACATAAGTCATGTTCCTGTTTGGACACGAAGTGGTCAATTAAAACGTCAGAGTATAAATAAACATAGACAGCAACCTGGACCTGAAACTTCAAAAGAAGATGATGAAAATGCTCTTCCTGCGTCCAAAAGCAGGTATCAGAAGCCTGGATTGTACTGATTTCTTATTTTGTTGCTTGGGCAGTCACAAACTGCATCGGTGTCTCAGAGTGTGCTACTGGTATTTCTTCTGCTTACTTCCTATTTAACTTGCTTGATTTTAAAATTACTGAAACTAAAGTCTGATGTAAGAAAGAAAAGTGAGGCATCATCTGAAAGAGTGACTGCAGCAAAGTGTAGTATCTCTGAAAGCTCAGCCAGATACTAGAAATAAGAAGTATAGAAATAGAACTAGAAGTAAGAAAACAGTGAGGGCTGAGGCTGTTCTGCTACAACTGAGTCTGCACAATGGTAAAAAATCTGTATTCATACAGCACAGTTTCTTGTGATAATGTAACTGGACTTGTATCTGCAATGCTGCGTGTGGTCTTTGAAGAGGTGTCCCTTCCTGACTTCTTGTTATGGTGGCATATTGCAGTAAAATGAAGTCTGACTGTTTATTTTAGGAGTTGATTATTGCTTGTCGCTTAGTAACAAGGATTATAGGAGTCAGTATTTCTTCAGATAAAGCTCTTTGTTTATATAAAATTTTAAACCATTATATCTAATCTTACATCCTGAAAAAAAAACATCTCCAGTTTTAAAGATGTTATCCTGTGGAATAATTGTCAAATGTGGATGTGAAGAGTAGTGTGGCTTGTGTGCCTTAACAGTTCTTACAGGACAGGGCTTGGAGTACTAATTTGCACTGGCTTCCATCCAGAAAGCAAAACTGTGTCTATTTGAGTAAATAAATAGCCTCCTCTTCCCTTACAGGCACACTGCCCTCCCTAGCCTGGTCCATGTGTCTCTGCCTGTCATTCTTTTCCAGAGAAACCCACTGCAACCCTGGAAACTTCTTTTGAAGAACCTGAAGACAACCTGATTATTTTCTAGGAAATCACTTAAACTTGTTCCATTAGATTTCTTCAAACAAAATTAGTTGTGGGGTTTTTTTATGTGAAGTTGAAGTCTTCAGCTAGACACAGCCTTATTTTTGTGTTTAAACTACTCTGTGGGACTACAGATACTGTATTGCTGTGCTGCATTGCCAGTGGGCTGCCCTAAGCTGTTTCAAAGAGGCTAAATGGCACTGTTAAATGCTGCCACAGCTTGAGTAATGCTTTGCCCTGTTACCACTAGTATTTGATTAGTGGTATGTGAAAGGACTGGCATTATATTCAATATTGTTAGTATTTTTGGGCCTTGCAAAATTAAGCCAGTGAAGTGCTGCTGCTCCTTTGAACAAGATGTGTAATATGGTGGTTTGAGCAGAGCTAAGGGGTATCCTAAAGGCAACGGAATGGGATTTCAGCTTGGTTCTTTCCTTCCATGCACATCAGCAAGTGAAACAGGGTCTTCTATTGGGGACCTTCCTATGGAGTGTCCTCATCTCAAGACTAGCATGTGGGCATAAAACCCTCCAATACTGCCTTTACTATGAGATCGCAAAGCAGACTCCTGCAAATCTATTGCATGTGCTTTTTTTTCTTTGCTTGTATGTGGTAGTTTCAGTTCATCTAAACTTTATAATCTCAAAAGTGAGAACTGAATATTTGAGTTAGTGTTACTACCCATCAGGTGCATCAGCACTTCATCTTTAGCTATTTGCTAATGCAGTGTCTAGCTGATTGAAACATCTTCGGCCATGATGTGTTTAACGCCTTGAATTATTTTCCAGTAGGGACCCCTGGTGGCCTAGTGGTTAGGATGCGGCACTCTCACCGCTGCGACCCAGGTTCGATTCCCAGTCCCCCAGGCAGATGGAGCTCGTTAGCCCTGTGAGGCCATCCATCTATGTGAAGGTCACTCTAAACAAACCTACGTCCTGAGGACCTCACTGCCATTGTCCAAGCTTGCTTGGCCCCGGCAGATGAACCTTAGGATTAAAGGGTGGGCTCAGTTCAGCGCAAGCTGTGTCTCACCTAAAAAATCCATTGCGCAGGCTGGAAAGGTAAAAGACCTTTCCCAAAATCTTCGTTCGCGAAGACTGGCCATTATTATTATTATCATGAGCTGAGGTAAGGACCAGGAGAGATCACTTATTGATCACCATCATGGGCAAAACAGACTCAAAGTGGGAACATTAATTAAATTTGTTACTAACAGGATCAGAGCAGGAGAGTGAGAAGTAAAATAATCTTAAAAACACCCTCCCCTCAACCCTCCTTCCTTCTAAGTTCTACCTCCTCCCCTCAGAGGCATAGGAGATGGGGAATGGGTGTTATGGTCAGCTCACCACAGGTTGTTTCTACCACTGCTCAAGGAGAAGAGTCCTTCCCCTGCTCACAAGGGTTCCTTCCCACAGGAGACAATCCTTCACGAACTTCTCCAGTTTGAGTCCATCCCACGGGCAGCAGTTCTTCACAAACTGCTGCAACGTGGGTCACTTCTCCATAGGGTGCAGTCCTTCAGGCACAGGCTGCTCCAGTGTGGGTCACTCACAGGGCCACAAGTTCTACCAGGAAAACCTGCTCCAGTGTTGGTTCCTTTTTCCGCAGATCAGCAGGTCCCTGCCAGGACCCTGTTCCAACCTGGGTCACAGCATCCTTTGGGCATCCACCTGCTCCAGCATGGGCTCCTCCACAGGCTGCAGGTGGCTTTCTGCATCCCCATTGTCCTTCAGGGACTGCAGGAGCACAGCTGTTTCACCATGGGCTGCAGGGGAAGTTTGACTGGCTCCTGGAGCACCTTCTCTCCCTCCTTCTCCACTGACCTTGGTGTCTGCTTCGTTGTTCACATGTTCTCACTCTGCTCTTATCTGGCTGCAATTTTCATCTATACAATAACTTCTTTTCCCCTTCTTAAATATCTTATCACAGAGGTGTTACTATCATTCCTGGTTGGCTTGGCCTTGGCCAGCAGTGGGTCTATCCTGGAGCCACTTGGCATTGGCTCTACCGGACATGGGGGAAGCTTCTGGCAGCTTATCACAGAAGCCACCCCTGTAGATCCCCTGCTACCAAAACCTGGCCACAGAAACCCAATACACTGGTCATGAAAGAATTTCCCTGCTGAGATCACTAAAATTATGTATTAATCTAAAAGATTAAAAGATGTATCTTAATACCTGCTGCAGGCCGGAACTTCTTGCCCACACATCTGAAAACTCTGAAGACTTGGTAGAAGTACCTAAGGTGGATACTGTTGAGAAGGATGAGGAAATTATTGTTGAAAACGAGGGCCAGTCTGTGTTAGAAGCGGAGCTACATGTATCACCCCTTGAGAAACAGAATGAGAAGGAGGTGAGCTGGATGTGATAGCAATAGCAGTTTGGAATACAACTTATAATTTCTTTTAAATATGGTCCTTGCTGCCTTGATCCATGTGACTGTCAGCTCTTTGATATTTCTCACCAATGCTTCATTAAGAAATATATCTGAGAAGCTTACACTAGTATAGAATTAGTTTCAGGGAATATTCCACTGTATGTATTTTGAACAATAGAGTTCATAGAATCTTCAATAAGGTGATTTTCTAGCTTGTCTAGCAACCTAATTTTCTTCATTGATTTCTCCTAATCAGAAATTCCAGAGAACTGGAGTAAGGTCAAGATCTGATCCAGTATCACTAATTAAAAAAAAAAAAAAGTCTATGTGAAGAAGCCAATAGCTGGTCTGCTTCAGTGACTTCTCTTGGCTCTTTCTATTCGTCCCCTTAAAACTTGCCTGTTGGATTTAAACATCAAGTTTAAATCCAACTTTTATCTTCAACTTGTTAATAGCTTGAATTTAAATCTCTGAGTACCCTTTGTGCCTAGCAATGCCTCCAAGATTTTATGTTCTTACTGATGGGTGAGAAAGTCAATCTTACGTTATGTTGGGTTCAAGGGATGACTTCAGCATGCATGCGAGATGCATAAAAACTGATTGGCTTGGCACCTAACAGTGTAAGTTATGTAGAAATTTAGTGCAGGTTACAACACCAAGCTACTAGTCTGGTTAAGATAGCTACAATGCATTAAGTTCTGCCTTCTTAGTACACATTTCTAGGTACCTGAGCTATCTGCTTCTCACATTAAGCTGCTAATTTAGGTCACAGGGTACACCCACTAGTGCTGGGGGACAATAGCTGGACATAATCTTGACTTAAAAATGTGATTTATTTTTTTAGGAAACTCCATCAGAACCTCTTAATGGTGAGGTAGCAGAAGAAACTGGTAAGACCTCACTTATGGCTGATGAGGAAACAGCAAATGAAGTTCCGAGTGGCGAGTCAAAATTGCAGTCTGAGAGTCAAGGAAAAGAACCCTTAACGCTGTTTGTTCCATTAATCCTTGAGTCTCCAGCAAAATCTTCAGAAGACACTGTATCAGAAAAGGTGAGATAAATGAAACAAAATGTGAAGTAATTTTTCCTTTAGAGTGTATGTATCTTGCAGGTTTGGGGTTTTTTCTTTTGTTAAGTCACAGATAGAAAGTAGCCCCTAACATGATGTGAAATTTTTGGGAGAAGCAATTATTAGGCCAGATAATGTAAATCTATAACGACAATATACTAACACTTCTGTTTCAGTATGCAGAATGGGGACATATATACATGTGATAACTAAAAAGAAAGATATGTTTGCTACAGTTTGCCTTGGCAGTAATGAAACTGCTGTTTCTCGCTAAAATATTAGTTGGGTATGAGTGAAAAGCCACATCCTTGTTTTGTCTAGCAATTCTTGCCTGATTAGGTGTGCAAGTAATTAATTACTGCTAAAATACCTTTCTAGAACACAGGTTTTACTGGGTTTTGTTTATAGTGCAAATGCAGATTGTTATATGCTAGCAAAAATAACTGTATTTATCTAAAAAATTTTTTTCCCCTTGGGATTAATTTCAGAGTGCTTTTACTGTGCCTGAGTACTCCTTGGAATAATTTGAAAATTGGGTAGTAACTCTGCTTACCAAATGCAAGTCACAAAACAGTCTGTTTCAGAAAGAAGGAAAGGACTGACTTATCGAATGTGCGTGTAGTATTAAAAAATGCTGAATGCCAAAGTGTCCTCTGAGGTCGCTAGCTAAGGGCAATTGTTATTCAGCCTCTTGTATCTTCAATTAATTGTCCTTTTGGTTGTTTTGGCGCCCCTTCCCTCCACCCGCAGGTTTTAAATGAAAATGATTCAGAAGTGCTGACTGAAGAAGTTACATCAGTAGAGAAGGAGGGCATTGGAGAACAGCAGGAATCTGAAAAGACCACCACTGAAAATGCATCTGCTTCAGCATCAAAGGAGGAGCTCTCTGACAATGGCCTGCCTAACTCTGTGGTAACTGAAGCAGCTGAAGAATCTCTTTCTGAAAACTTACCTGCCTCATTGGAAGTTCAAAGTGAGGAAACAGGGCACAACTCACAGGAGGCCCCTGTTGCCTTGAGTCAGAGCTCTTTGATAGTGGTTGAACTTGAAGGTGTTTCTTTTCAGCAGCCTGCTGGACAGGAAGGACAGAAGAACCAGTTGGAAGAGCCCTCGGAAGAGTCTACAGAGCAGACGGATCACTACACGCAGACAGTGGCAGAGCGGGCTGCTGACAGCAGCTCTGAGGAAGCAGAAATTGAGGTACCTGTTGTAGATCGGAGAAACTTGCGAAGAAAGGCCAAAGGCTATAAAGGTCCTCCTAAGAAAAAAGGAAAGCCGGCTTAATGAAATATTGATTGTTAAATCATCTATTTATAAGAAAGCTATTTTGTGTAAAACATTAGTGTGTAACTAAACCATATCAGGCACAGGACATGCGTGTTTAAAATTCTGTGTTGGACTTCCTTTTGGGTTCATAACCTTTTCTCAAAGTTTAATTTTTAACCACCAGACACTGAACTTCTTCATAGTATGAAAGTAAATAGCCAGTCTCCTCCCTTCATAAAGGATACATGCTGAAGAAATACAGTTATGCTATCAAAGGGAACAGTTTGTGTATTTAAGGTGGCAGTCTTGGAAGAAAAATGCAGTGTGAAATCCTGGCCCTATCAAGGTCCCTTAAATTCCCATAGATGGCCATGATACCAGACATCACTCCAGATACTGGTTTTTTTTAAAGTAACTTTGTGTTCTCTACTGTGGAGAGAAGCACAGCAAGAAAAATCCTTCCTTGCTTCTTGTTCCCTTCCCAAAGGTTTTCTCAAGATTAAAAGAATGTGAAATTCCGTCATTCTAGGTCTCAAAATGTACAAGGTGTAGCTCGGTAGATCAACACAACATAAGCATTTATCTTTCATGAGAATCACTTGAAACAGCTGAGTCAGTAGAAACACAGTGCAGTATCTGCCACAGCTGATTCTGGTAATGGATTTCTTGTGTGAAGATTGAGATGCCTATGCCGTAAATGATTTGTGGCTTCCAAAGCAAGCATTTTGATAAGCCTAAGTTTTTCCAGAGTGTATGGATTGTAGACTACATATGGAATCATTTGAACTGCCTTCCTAACTACTTGCATGTGTTGAGTGGATAGTTGATTACTTGTTGCATTACAGGAAAAGAATATGACAACTTTTGATCTTGTTTTGGTCTGAATGGAAATGGTTCTTTGTTTTTTCCAAATACTTTGCTAGTGCTGTGGGGTAACTATTAAAATGTTGTGTCTGCCAGATGTGCGACTCCTGAGAGCGCTGACATTTCAGATGGTTATGACATTCATTAGTGTGGCTATTAGTGGGTTTTTCAGCAAATGCTTGTTTGCCAAACTTCCATGCCTTTAGGAATGATCAGGTGATAGCTTGCAAATATTTCTGATTCCCACTTTCTTTTTCTAACCTGAGTGTAATTCATAGGATGATAGCTTCCCAGTTCACAACATTTCTTAAAAGCAGCAACCAAACTTTGCTGTTTGCAGAGAGAAATAAAACTTTCCATGCGTATTTCCCTTCTGAGGTTCTCTTGGCAAACCATATATTTAACTTGTCACACATACCTGAGTTACTCCTTAGTTTGCTATGTGTTTCTTTCCAGTAAATGAAGCTCCTCTAATAATGGGTTAAAAACTCAGAAATAAAAGAACAATGATTCTAAGAATGGGAAATCACACACCACTTTTTGTCCTGCTTATATGCCTTTTCCAAGGTGAGTGAACTAGTCTTTCAGTGTCTCAAAAATAGAGGTACAACTATTCAAGGTTCACCTGAATAGTTGCAGTGCTGTCTTAACTTTTATCCTTTTATGAAGCTAATATAAGAATCTGGTTTTGGACTTCTATACTTATAGAGTTTAACTCTATTTGTAGGATATTGTAACTATATAAGATACATTCATGCTATTTCCTTTAGCTGATGAAATACCATGCTCTATTTGAATCCGTTAAGAGCAGCTTATAGGAAAAAAAATGTTTTAAAACTAAACTTTAAACCTAAACTTTAAACTTGGAGTGCATGAGATTACTGAGTTAAGTCTGGGTTTCTTGATCTATTGCATGTAGCTATAATATCTTAGCAAAGTACATACAGGTACTCCTTACGAACCCCATCCCTGAAAAATATTCAAGATATTTCCTGATTGTGTGCAAACATATTCAGGTGAACGTTAAGCATTTCTAAAACTTATGAAACTTTTTATATAAAGCATATAAGACAAAACTTTTTTTATCTTCTGTATGGTTTCTCTTTTACTGCTGAGATTAATTGTATTTTAAAAAAAAAGTGGCTAGAAAACACATCTCTTGCATTGCTAAGAATTTGGGATTTGTGAGGACTGGTGGCCAGTATATTGCAATTCATCTTCCATTTTTAGGGCAAGCTTTACTGAAGATGAATCTGCTGAATCCTTCAATTGATACGAATTTATCCACTTTCAAAAAGTTAAGGATTCTTTTGCTTATGAAAAGGGAGCCCCAGTTATTTCAGTTACTCCTAGGTGAATTTTTGATATCTGTCTTTATTGTTTATATTCCCAGTGAGGTTGAAAAACTGTTCAGGAGAAGGTAATTTCACTCACCTGGCTTTTACTTTACGTGGCTAAGTTGGAATGATTTCAGTTAGATATTTGCATAATGAGTACAGAAAAAAACCCCCAAAAACAAACAAACAAAAAAACCCCACCAAAACCAAAAACATAAGTATTACAATGTTATGATATTAAGACAGTCTTGGTTTCTAATGAGAACAATCAAATTTCTGATCTCATTTCAGTGAGTCAGTTTTAAATACTGAACTTAAATTCACATGTTTAAAGTATACTTCTGTAAATCTGGTGTACCTGGGATAATAGCTGATGGCCAGATTTTTACATACAGATAGTGGGCAATTGGGGTGCAATTGGAAATTCATATAACCAGTACAGTCTTGAAAAATGGACACTGTTCTAATTGTGATCACAGCAGTACTTTGAACCAAAGGCCGCATTTTATAACAACTTCTTTGGCATCAATCATTCTGCAGTAAATACGGAGTAGGAAAATCAAAATACTGACTTCATTGTTTTTATGGCTGTACTGATTGTCCCACTGGAACAGTAGTTCAATAGCCTATGCATTCTGTTGAATTTATATAAGGGAATAGGTCTGATTACTGGATTGACTGGAGTGCTTTATCTTGGGAAAAACAGTGGTTTCTAAGCTTGGAAAATTTTTTTGTCTATTAACTGTCTTATTACCATCAAACTCTTAAATAATTTTTAAGATCCTATTGCACCAGCAACAAATGATTAAAACATCAACTTTATACACATTTGTAACAAATGTTATTACAACATGCTGTGGAACTAAGTGTGTACAGTGAAAGCAAGCAGTATTATTTTTGAGCTTTGTTTAGGCTAGGAATGGAGCTTAAAGAACATTTTGTGACTTCAGCCTTGCACTTAAATGCTAAATGGTTTTGTACTTGAATGCAACATTTGTTTGAATGTCTGTCTTGTACTGCTTCTTGCACATTCTCTCTTGGTCAGTTTTAATTTCATGCAGAATTCTTGTTTGCTGTTCTCCTGTTCCATAGCCCTTTACATGAAAATGTATACATCTTACTTCAAAAGAGCTTTAACTTATTTTAGATTATGTTTGACCTCGGTTTGCTGCTTTTTTGTACCATATTTCATGTGTAGATTTCAGTAATCAAATTGATCATTTACAATGTCATTGACACGACTTACACATAGCAACAAATAGGTCTAAGTTTCAGCTTCCCTGCTCTAAGTGACTGTTCTAAAACACTATTTCCAAGGGGATATACTTCTAAATTTATTTTCACAAATGTGGTGTTAGATGTTTTCTAAACTAGTGATACTGTGTTTATAAATCTTATGAAAGATGTCTTACTATTGCATAGTATTGTACCTTAGTCTTGTTAGTGTTAATATTTCCTTTTTTTAGTACTGCCTTGGCTGCTTTTGAAATGTTTGAAGTAGTAATTAAACCATTATTTTGTGATTTTTTTTTACTTCTGCTTGGTTTTTAGTATTTGAGTCCTTTCTGCTATACAGGAAGCACATTTTAAAGTGGTTCAGTTCATTAGAACTATTACTTTACAATCTGTCTGCTACAAAGGAGTTCTAAAACATCAAAATCTTTTATCAATTAGACCAGTTTTCTGTAATTAGCTTATGCAGCAGACTTTTTTTTTTTTAAGTAGCAGAATAGGCTCTTCTGTATGTTACAGTGTGGATTCTGCTGTTTATATCAATTATGCAAGATGATGTAAACTTAGCAGTTATTAATGGAGTTTGCTATAGACAACCAAGTAGAAATGCTGTAACGCACTCCTACAGTGTGGTACATTTAAATGCCTTAAGAGCAGTAATTGCTGAGCCAACAAGTCATGTGTAGATGTCAGTAATCAAACTGGTCATTTACAATGTCATTGACATGCTTACACATAGCAACAAATTGGTCTAAGCTTCCCTGCTTTAAGTGACTATTCTAAAATACTATTTCCAAGGGGATATACTTCTAAATCTATTTTCACAAATGTGGTGTTAGATGTTTTCTAAACTAGTGATACTGTGTTTATAAATCTTATGAAAGATGTGTTACTTTTTTAGTATATAAATATATTTATAGCATAAAAAGTAGTACAGTTTTTCAAGACAGCTGTAGAAAATTATTCTGTTCATGTTGTTAATGTCTAGTAAAGGGTAAAGCAACAAGAACTTAAATGGAGGGTTATCTGTTCTGACAAAATGCCCTCTCTGCAAGCAAATAACTTACTGGCTTGTGACTCTCTTTTATTTTCAAATCACTTGTCATTTACACAAAGTAAAAATCATAGTAAGTTACTAAGTCTAGATGAGGACAATGTGTTAAATTAATTAAACAGTTTGTAACAGAAGGCTCTGTGGTATAGTTAAACTACTGCCTCTATCAGATCGTATAAGAGAAGTTATGATGACAGTATACAGGCAGCTAGCTTGACTTCCTGACCAGAGTTCCAAATCTGAAACATGACAAAGGAGCATCTGTGATAGAAGAGGCTGAGAGCTGCAATTGTTCTCCCTGAGGAAGAGAAAGCTCAGGAAGGTCTTACCTTGTGTACAAATACCTGGTGGGGAGGGGGGTGTATGTCATGAATGATTCTTTAGGTTGCCTAAGGTCAAAGGTATTAACAAAAGCAGGTTTAATATAAATTTGGAAAAGCATGATTTAATAAAGTTTGTTGGTGAGATTTGCTCTATTACTTACTGGATAGATGAAGCATACAAAGGAAAATAGAATTAGAATCAATCTGAAATTATTTACAGAGATTGCCAAAGAGTAAGGGAGATGCTCCTGTTGAGTTATGAGGTTCAGAGAGGACTCCCTTGCTTCTGTATGTGCATAGAAGGTAAAGATTGTTGGTAATAGCACACTGTGAGAAAGAACAGGATGTGGCTGGAGATGGGGGCATATCGAGGTAGGACAGCACTTTTCCAGGAAAAACGTCCTTGTTCTGGCTTCTGGGAATAAGCACAACACAGTACAGAGCAGGTGCAGGAATATGGCTGACCTACCCCCATGGCTCCACAAGGCCTGGGTGCACATGTGCCATGGGACATGGACACCCAATCAGCTGCACCATTGCTCGCAATCCCTCCCTCCCTTCCTAATTCATCTCTCTCTGTCTCTCTCTCCCTGTTTTCAACTTTTCCTTTATCCAAAACCACTGGCCTGTGCTTATACTAGATCTGGGACTAACGTGCTAACTGTGTAATTTACCAATAAAACTTCGTAAGCTTTTGTGGACCCTCTGACTTTTGTCATTCCTTTCAACCACAAGCACCTATGAATCTTGGGTGCTCCCCTCTCCTTAAGGGTGGGATGGCACAGCTTTCTAAATTCCTTATGGAGTGTGACTGAGTCCAATCTTAGTTCCAGACTTGGTCAATGGTTTATGTATTAAGAATTTGGCAGCACTTAATCGTTGACTATTTAACCATTTACAAAGTGATTCAATAGGATTTACTCAACAGTGACGTAGTTACAGATTTGACATAACAAGTTATACTGTACTTGCTATATAGGGTGTTTAAATCAATTCACATGCACATGTGTGTGCATATATATATATATGTGTGCATACATATACATATATATATATATACACACACACAAATTTACCTGCTAAAATCTCCCTTGAGTTCAATGAAATGCTCATATCGAATGTCTTTACATTTCTCAAGGGCTGAGGGTTGAGCCTTGAGGAGTGTGGAAGGCTATCAGCCTTCATCAGCTTTTGGCAACAGCAGTGGTCCTCTGAGTATTGCAAACTCTCACACTGGTGAGCTCTAACAGGTTTTCCACCCACAGGGAGATAACAGTCAGCCCACTGTGGCCCAGGACAGCTCAGAGGGCCTCACTTAGGACCACTCTTTATAGGATTGCAAGATGATTGGCTTCAATCATCAGTCAGTCTTCATCCTGGCCATAAGTAATTACTAGAATTTTTCAGAAGTCCAGTAATAATAATATTTTTCCACACTAGCTATGATTCAGGTAAGTTATGGTCAGACTGTTGGGTATGGCTGATCATCTCTTATCCCTCTGTGTGGTTAGGCACTGGAAGTTCCTGTTTACGGACTGTTTCTGGTAAGCTCAAGGGGAGCTTAACTGTGCAGGAGCCACTAATGGAGGCCAACGCCTAATGAGATCATAGAGCAGCCTGAGGAGGCAGCAGAAGGCACTACATGGTATAAAAGTGGATCAAGAGTCAGCAGTGCCCAGTTGAGCACAAACTGAAATATAGGAAATTCTATTTAAACATAAGCCCGTTTAAACTAAGCGTGGTCAAATGCTGGTTCAGGTTGCTCAGGGAGGTGGTGAAGTCTCCATCCTCAGATATACTCAAAACCTCACTATATGTTGTCCTCTGACACCTGCTGTAGGTGACTGCTTTAAAAACGGGCTTGCACTACACGGTCTCAAGAGGTCCCATCCAACCTTAACTACTCTGATTCTATCTGCTATTTAACCTCATTGCATGTGTGACCACCTGTAGCTTTAAACTTTTGTTAATGCAAAAAAGTCCAAAGCAAACCTATTCACATTCTCGCTTCTGAAATATCTTGACAGTTTCATTTGAAAGTTTCCTTCTTATAGTGTTGAAGGGTAAGAGTGCCCTCATAAACTGGATGAGCATAAACCATATGAGCAAAACAGGAAAATTAAATCTCTTTATTTGGACAATGTTCAGCTGAACAAACATAATAAATATGAAAATGTGAGCAGTTGTTTCTGGCTTAAGTTCCTCACCAGCTTGTTCTGGAATGTTTGAAGGTTCTACAGATCTTGGAAACTTCTTGAAATTCCACAGTTATTTTGCAGGAGCCCACGTCCAATGCTTGGTATCAAACCCAACTTAAACAAGTAGAACTGCATTAATACAGCCATCGTTTTCCGGATTGTTTGTTACTTGTGCATATTTCCCTAAGGAGAAAAGAGAATTAAATGTCTGCAAAAGCTCGAAATAGATCACATAGGTTAGATTTTTCTATGTTTGCAAGTTCAATCTACAAGTCTCTAAAGAGTAGGGACTCAAATGCATTTTGAAATCTAAATCTACCTTTTACTGGGCTATAAACTTATGTTCTCAAAGTATTACATTCAGGCTGTTTTTTATAAACAGATTATTTAGAGTTCTGAGTAGAACAAAAAAAATACTTAGGTTTGCTACTGTCCAAGTGAAACCCTCTATTAAAAGAAGTCAATCTTATGAAGATCATAGAATATGCTGACTTGGAACAGACCCATCAGAATCGAGTCCAACTCCTGGCCCTGCACAGGACAGCCTCAAGAATCACACCATGTGTCTGAGAGCATTGTCCAAACACTTCTTGAACTCAGACAGGCTTGGTGCTGTGATCACTTCCTCAGGTAGCCTGTTCCAGTGCCCAGTGACCCTCTGGGTGAAAAACCTTTTCCTGATATCCAACTTTAACTCTCCTGACTCAGCTTCACGTCGTTCCCTCGGGTCCTGTCACTGGTCACCACAGAGAAGAGATCAGTGCCTACCCCTCCTCTTGCCTTCATGAGGAAGTTGTAGACTGTGATGAGTCTCCCCTCAGTCTCCTCCAGGCTGAACAGACCAAGTGACCTCAGCTGCTCTTCATACAGCTTCCCCTCAAGGCCCTTCACCATCTTCTCTGCCCTCCATTGGACACTCTCTAAGAGTTCAATATCTTTCTTATATTGTGGTGCCCAAAACTGCACACAATATTAAAGGTGAGGCCGCCCCAGTGCAGAGCAGAGTGGGACAATCCCCTCCCTCAGCTGGCTGGCGATGCTTTGCCTGATGCCCCCAGGACACGGTTGGCCCTCCTGGCTGCCAGGGCACTGCTGACTCATATTCAACTTGACATCAATCAGGACCCCCAGATCCTTTTCCACAATGCTGCTCTCCAGCCTCTCATTCCCCAGTCTATACTCAAAACCAGGGATGCCCCATCCCAGGTGCAGAATCTGGCTATGATACTCCTATACAACTGCCACTGAAAACATAATACGATTGTTCACACAGTTAGTCTTTATAGACTTGTGACATTGCTCAATGTGACACATAGGCATGCAAGCTGAATCTTTGTTCTGAACTTCATCTAAGTGAATGGAAAGCCTAAGATTAACACTTAAAGTTTCTATTTTTAGAGTTGCTAGTAGTTGCTTCTGCCACAGCACAAACCTAACATTTAACAATGACTATAAGACAAGGTCTTAACAATGCAATGAAGACAAATCTTTTAAAAGTAATTCTGCAGTATAACTAGGTAAACTTACTTACCCCAGATAACTTTGCCCCCTTGTGTCACAAGGCCAAGCTCACTCACGTTAACCTCAATGACAGTACCCTTGGTAATTACACCAAGTGTCGTATACAAAGGAGAAGATGGATTCTTTTTTACACCAAGGATAGGTAGGCAAAAAGTGGCTTTAAGTTCGGGATGTGTCACATGTGCCTTCTTGAAACGTAAG